CTAAACTTTGCTAAGTGTTTCCATAACACACAGCAGAGTTTACATATACTATGGGCTTCTGTTTATCTTTATTTTCTTTGGCTACAACATTTCAGTGTTTAATGATATTACAGTATTAATTTAAGCAATAATTATAATCAGTGCACAAATGACTAGAATTGGAAATAGCAAGCAAGATTAGTACAGTAATGGCAGAAGCAGTGGTGCACTTAGTATCAGAGACATTCTGCAATTAGAAAATTCTGATATCAATAATCAACCACAGTGATCATTATTGCAGGGCATTCCTGTAAAGTTACACAGTGTGCTTAAGTATGCAAAATAAGCATGCTATTTGTACCATTAGTTTATACCAAGGCCATAGTTTGCACAGCTATTATATATTACATAATGCATTATCATTCATTTTCCAGAAAAAGATCAATCTACATTTATAATGCTGGCAATCTCTTTAAAAATTTTCTAGAATTTACTGAAAATCATAGCACAAGAGGCCAAAATGCAAGCAAAAGCAGAGATGCATCTGAAACATGTCACATCATTATAATGGAAGTAAAAAATATAAACAGATTTTGTGTTCAAAATCTAAAGTAACTGCACTATATTACAAAAAGAAGCCATAGACTCACATTTCACAACTTACTCACTTGGAGATGAGTATATCTTTTGTCTGGCAGAAAGAAATGGCAATGTTACTGCAAACAGATCATTCTAATATCAGATGGCTGTGCAGCACATAATGCTTTATCTTAAAACCACAGTGATTGTGCACAAAAAAATTAACCATCAAGATGTACTTACAAGGGGACCTTACAGTCTCGGAAATTCAGTTCGGGATGAGACTTGGCAGGTTCGTAGTATACCTCAAGGGTGTCCACCCAGAAGAATTGTAAAGCGCACTAGCCAGAAGATTCCGAGAAAAAAGGCTCTAAAATTTTAAGCGCAGCTTATATACCGATTGATTCTACCTTATGGTAGTACAGCGAAGTGGCTCAGTCCGTAGCGTACTCGCCTGCAACGCGGTGCGACCTAGGTTCGATCCTACCTTCTGCAAACTTTTTTTTTTATTGGTTTAAAAATTATAACAATTTTTAAATAAAGTTAATGACGTAAAAATATTATCAATTAAATCATAAATACTTTTATTTTATTTATGAAATGACTGTTACAGCGGATTAAAATGTGAATTAAAGATAACATTTTATTTTTCAAAAGTTGAATAATTTCAAATGCATTTTTAATGGAGGTAAATTAAAACTTTAATTACCACAATTTATAGTACATTCTCGTAACAAACAATAACTGTGTACCAAATTTCAACTTTTAACGCCTAACCGTTTGGGATCTGCGCTTATTATTATGTTGAGTTTAGTGGTTATACTCGGTAGTCGTGGCTGTGTACTATACTGGACCAAAGACAAAGCATTAGCAACCAAAAAACTAAAATCAAATAAGTGTGTCAGTATCTGTATTCAAGAATTTCCAAACAATATGGCAAGTATTCAATATAATTGCCTTCTGTAGTGTGCTGTAGTTCTATTCAATTGTAATATTCCCAGGCTTTTGCATAGTGTGTGCGGTGTAAAACTCATAGAGAAAAAAACAATAAGTACAATAAGCACTCTACCCATATCCATATTCCACAGATGCCTGTTTCCTGCGCAATTTCTGTATACTTGCTAATTATTTCAGTAAATGTGAGTAGTAGTGATTCGACACATACTGAGCACAAAATAAATTTTTTTTAAGATAAATCTTATGCACAAATTTTAATTAAATTAAATTAATTAATTTAATTTAATTAATTTTATTTTAACAATAAGACAAAGTTTCTATATTAATTATTAAATGCTTTAATATTCGAAAAAATTAAAACACGACAATTGTATGAAATAATATAACACCAAAACAAAATTATTTTTGAATTTTTTTTATTTTTACATTAATAGATTAAATTAGTTTATTTTATTTAAGCTTTTCCAGTTTT